CAGCCGGTTGCCCGAATAGCAGGGATAGAGAGCGGATCGATAGGAGTAACACCATTGGCCCATTGTGGAGGTGGTGGATGGACAATGTGATTGCTGCTCAAGAGATGCATTTTAGCTTGAACAGTTGCCTTTTGCTTAAGAAGCATACGGCCAACTTCAAGATAGCGTATTCGAGGGACCATGGAGCATTGCATGAGTGTACCCCCTTCATAATCCTTGATATACCCCATCCAGATAGACTTGTCAAGACTGATATCTTTGGTAAACCCTTGTTTTTGGAAGTATCCTGTGGCATAATTATCGGCGTAAGTTAGAAAATGCATCACGGGGGAAGTAGCTTTGACATAATCTTTTAGATGGGCCATCAGATGTGCTCCATATCCTTTCACCTGCTGATCAGATGAGACTGCGCAAAAAACAATTTCAGCAAACTTGCGGTGTCGAAATTCCCGAAATGTTATTCCTCCGATAACCTCCAGAGGCATTTTCACTATGGCAATAGACAAATGGGCCCGATCGTAGACAAGACGCGCAATGTAATCTTTGGGCATTTTTGGCAGTTGCTTTTGAAACAGACATTTGAGGCCTGTAAGGATGATTGTACTGGTGCGAGAACCGTCATTGTTGACGACTCGGAATTCGATCTCCCCATTTTGCTCCTCTAAAACTGCAGGCTGCAGAACAATTAGAAAACACTCCACAATGTTTCTAGGGTCCTAGCATACCTTCTCTGGGAAAGCAACCCTCCATATTGTAGCTGAGGTCTTGATTCGTTTCGTGTCACGGACCGGGTTTGATTCTTCGAAAGCCATTCTTTTCTTGAGCGGAAGGCTTTGGGTGCTGTTCGTAGCAGGAGGTTGAGCGTCTGCCTCCGCTTCGCCCATCGCGTGGTCCATTGGCTCGTCCATTTGGTGATCCATCCGGCCGTCCATCTGCTTTCAGCGTCGGGTTCTTGGACTGTCGCAATCGCAGCCCCGCGATGAGACCAGCAGTAGCGAATCCCTTGGATGAGGGAGATGTTAAGTAACCCTGGAGTGCAGTGTTGTCAGGCTGGTGATTCATGCGCGGCCCTTTGTTCTTCCGGTCTATTTTGATATGCCAGCACCACTGTCCCAGCCCAGCTTGGAACTAACAAATATCGGCTCCAACTTGCCTCAGTAAACTCAGCCTCTCCACTGGATTCGGACTCATTAAGGGACGCGTTCTGCCCAGGGACGTAGTAAGGCTGTAAACTCGAGATGAATCGCGTCACAACCCCCAAAGGGGTTAACTAGTGCAAAGCCCCGATCGGCCCGCGTAGCTGCTGACTAAGCAGCTGGACATCAAGATTGGAATAATAATCAGCATCGACATTGGTGATGCTAAAGTTCAGGTTCAGAATGTACAAGATAGACATCGCTACAGTGATCAAGAGAGTACAGAGTAATCATAGAGTTTCTGCCACAAGGATCTTTTTGGTTAATACCGTCTCCCTTGAAGGTTTGAGCATTTCTGTTTAGTTTCCAATTCAGGAGCACGGTTCAATGGTTTTGATGGCATAGCTGACAGTATTCCATGTATACTGTACGTGCATGATGAGTAAAGCGAACAACTATTATGATAACTAGGCAAGCAACTATAATACACGTAGTACGACGCAGTCCGAACTACCCAACATCATTCTTGATTACCTCCGCTTCTGTCCCCTATCCTCGGAACCACATTAAGTTCCATCAACGCAACTTAGCACCATAAGGATTACAACTTGGTATCATCCGAAAAAATAGCACAAGACAAAAAAGATGCTGCAAAAGAGGGTATATCAATTTCCACTCGACGATTTCCCAAGACAAAATCCCACCCTGAGGGAAGTTGGCGACACAAACTGTTCATATTTAGATCGGAGCTCTAGTGCCGGGAATGGTGTGTGGACCATTCAGCATCCCCGTAGTGCCAGTACCCCCGGTACGCTCACCGCGGGCAGTCTCATCGACTAATGCACTGCCAGGGACTGAGGGGACGGCGTGGGTAACTGGCTGTACTGGCTGTGAAATTGGAACCGATGGATAGGTCGTTGGAGGCTGAGATGCGAAACCAACAGGTTCTCCGTAATCTCTAGAAGCAGCAGTTCGATCACGTTGATACATTTGCTCTTCTCGCTTCCTACGTTGCGCGGCATCATCCTCGCGGGACCCGACAACGATTTGATGCGGTTTGCGTGTCGTCGGTGGGAGCTGAGGCAAATTAGTGGTCTCTGATGCGCTACCAATGCCAAAGACAGGTGACTCCCATCGGTCACCCTTTGCAGCAAGCTCCTTGTACTCCGTAGCCTTTGTCGAGATCCCTCCTGGCAAACTAATCCCCTGGAAAATGGAATCGTGCTGAGTGACAGCCATATTGACTTTGGTATCGCGCTTGGCAGTAGCTTCTGCCTTCTTCTGGGCTTGCTCTTTCCTTTCGGCCATTTTCTTGCGTGTCGCTGCGATGTAATGTGCGTACATGCTCCGTTTGTCTTCAGCATCGGCTCGGGCGGCCTCTCGAGTGCGTTGGGCCTCCATGTAAATGTCATACGCGAAGGCGTCGCCCTTTGTAAAGGAATCACGAATCTGCTTTTCAAGTGCTTTCTGGATGGCCGGCCGCATGACCTTGAATAGCAGTGGCCGGAACATTGTGAAGAGGAATTTGTGCTTCGACTTCTTAAGCTTCACGTCGAGGTTTTTGATGGTCACATCAACGATTTCAGGTTTGATGAAATGCTGTCGGTCGTGGGTTTGAGATGTCGACCCAGCAATCCTAAAGCTGAATCCTTCCCCGCCGAGATAAATGTCCATGATACCGGAGTCCGAAATTCTTGGGAATCCTTTCTTTTTCCTGATATAGTAACTCACATCTGTAGTGTCTAGTTAGTTGATATTCATCGAGAGTGATGAAAGAAACATACCTTTCAGATCAGTTTGCACTCCCGTGGCAGATATCATTACCTTGTTGTCGTGCTTATTACTGATTTTCTTGCGGCCCCAACGCCAATAGTTATCGCTACCAAATTCGAGCACGTTCGGGATCAAATTGTCAGTTTCAACCGCAAGATTTTCCACGACCTGTTGATAATTAGAAAAACGCTCAAGATTAAGAATAAAGTGCGCATCTCTTACCATATCGACCATTGGATCAGAGACCTCAATGCGAGGAATGGGAATGTAATGAAGACTTTCAAAAATTCCGGGTAAGACAACATTAGTAAAATCTCTCAGTAGGTGTTTCTTGAAAACAACCCTCCCTTGCATATCAGTACCAAGATCAATGAATAGTTTCTGCAAAGATTGGGAGAGTCGTTTGTTAAGGGGGTCTTGATCGAACTGTTCGCCGATAAATTTCATCTCGCCGATGACGCGGTTGGTGTCTTCCCGATAACGGTCCCGGAAAAGATACTGTCCCTCGTCGTATAATCTACTCCATTCTTCATTCGATTCATCTTGCAAGACAAACCCCTGTTCTTGAAGACATCGGCTAGGCAAAATATTAAAAATTGTGTTCAACTAGCTTGCATTTGAAGGCTTACCGTATGAAGGTGTTCACCGAACGGAACCATTCCCTTAAACGGGGATCATTGTCAGCATCTCGATAAATCTTATTGATAGCGTCGAAGAGGTCGTCAAGCGATGTACTATTAGCGCAACGCTCAATGAGTATCTGTGCCACGGTTAGATCAGGTAGATAAAATATTTTGGCGCCATCAACGTACTCTAAGGTTGGTTTCCAGCTTTTTGATGCCGGGTGACTCATCCCTCGCGCCTTTCAAGTTCCCTGCTCCCTGCTGGGATAGATTTTTGGTATGCCCGGTATAGGTCTCTGCGATTGACAAAAGGGTTTCAATAGCTTGCTGGTCTGTGGTCACATTCCCCGTTAGGACTTGGTACGAAATGCAAGATTAATTCAGAGAGCTTACAGTCAGAATGCCCTTGGATTTCAACAATCATCTTTTTCACGCGCCAAATCGTCTGCTCTCGACGTTCTTTTGGCATCTTCGAGGCGAGAAACTGTTTGGTTTTCTCCGTAAACTCATTCTTGCGGGTCTTCGCTTCTTCGGTAACTTCGCCATTGACAGTCCCGTTGGTTTGAGCAGCCGCCCCGTTTGTGTGAGCAGTCCCTGCTGTCCCGTCCACACCTTTGTCTTTTTGAGTCTTTGACTTCATACGGGACCTTACAGCATCTTTTGACATGTCAGGCTTTTCATGCCAGACGTTTTCGGCAGCTGGTTTGTCGATCTGGGAAAGCTGCTCCTCCGGCGGTCGCATAATATTGGCCGCTTTTTGCGCCGAATCGCTAGCCATATCACGTAGAAGCAGAGTGGCATCATTAACTAGAGAAATTGTAAGTTACCGTCAATTGACAGACACTGACGATACATACGGAGTTTTCTAAATTCCCCATTCGTCACCAAGAGCGTCCCAAGCGTTTTCAAGCCCTCGGCAACCTGTTGGCCATCTTGTTTGGCACCCTCTCGTTGCACTGGCTTCTCAGTAGTTCCCACATCCGGACGTTGCAAATGTTCTGCATCCCAGATGAACTCTTGTAGGAGATTTCCCTGGTTCTTTACGAGAACGAGATTCCTAGCACTGGTAATAACGTTGCTGATATCCTGGGCCACTATACGGCCGTCTTCCGACAGTCGGTTCGACGGCCTAGCAAATGGCTTCGATTCGAGAGCACTGTTTAGCGCAATGTCGATTTGCTTGTTCTATTTTGTCAAGTCAGCAACTGACCAGGCTGATTCAGGGTTCAATAAATCCTGCTTACCGATGGCACCTTGCCATTTTTGAAAGCCGAGTATATGCCATAGATTTGCAACTTGCGGTTGATATCCTACTCTAACAGTGAGCATACAAACCAGCATAACCATGGATGCCAGAAAACCTCACTTTTTCCTTTAATTCAGGATTTAAGGGCTTATTGACAATGTTGGTTTTCGGCATTGTGACCTGGTCTCTCAACGTAATGTTTCAACACGATGTAAAAAGAGTAATAGGAACCTAGCATTGAAGCTCAAGGAGAGCAGGGGGAGGGGCAACAAATTTTTGGAAGAACCCAGCCTCAATTGTAATTGAGTAGTTGATATTGGCCTCTAAAACGATTGTTATAAAATCGAGGGTAAAATAAAATTTTATGGTTGTATGTTGCAGCGTTCATGTCATAGAAAGAGGAGAGGAGTGAGGAGAGTGCACGACTGATCGATCTCTATAAGAACTCCCGGAAAGACATGGGAAGCAATTGACGTCATTGAGTTTGATTCTATTTGCGTTTCACTTTTCGGCCTGGAAAAGCTATCCACCAAGAGAGACTTGATACTGGGAATAAAACCAAAGCGCGTGGTGTAGGGACCAGGTACTTCGGTGGGTGAAGAAAGTCTTGGAGAAAATCCAAGTTCTTCCCGCACTCTGGCAGGTCTGCAGTGTCGCCATTGGGCGCAGATCTCTTCTGATCGGCTACTTGGGTCAAATCGTGTCTGCCCAGATCAGGATTGCTCGTGTGTTGTTGCACCGTTGAGCATTGCGTGGAATGGAGGCCCACGAGCTTAACTGTCGGTTACGTCATGCGCCAGAAGACAGGGAAGTCAACCGGAGCAACCAGAGCGGAAACCGGCCATTATTGGCGCCTTTTGGGCAAACAAGGCCACATTGACTTCCAAAGCTCCACGGAGCCATAGCTCACAGTCTCGACCGTCGCGGGCTACAGGAGGACGTTCCCTGGTTGTGCAGGGACTGCTTCCCGCTGATGTCAATGCCAATGGCCCCAAATGTCTATTGTATGTACAGAAGGTGATGGAGCATGCAGGGCACAAAACACACCACTTGCATGCCAACTTCGAAGGCTGTGTGACTGTTGAAGTTGAAGTGAAGTTGAGATGAAGTTGACGTTGACGTCGAGTGCATGTAACCTTGTTGCTCTAGTCCCAAAATGGCAATATTGGTGGAGGGGGCGAATGGCAGTCACGTGATGACGCGACTGGCAACGCGTTTGGCAGCAATCGCGAGGGGCAACGAGAACCAGAGCTCGCATTTCTTCGGTTGCTTTACGAGCAATATGGTATTTCTACTCTTGCGATATTGCATGTGAACCTACAAGTCCCATCAGCAATGGGCCCGAGACGGCAGACTCGCCTGAACTTCACCCCTCTACCCCCGTCTTCGCCTGGGCCTACCCATAGTTCTGCTCAGGGAACCGATCGATTTGCGAATATTCGTTACGCTCCAACCTCAAGTTCACCACTAGGCTCGAAAACTGGTGTCAAACGTGAACCACTCTCGAGTAGCCCCATCCCGTCGCGCCCAATAAAACAAGAAACATCCTCCGGAGATGAGGGAGAAGACGATGATGAGCCAGTATCCCTCGTGACCCCGGCTTTTCGTCGTCGCCATACTTTGTCGCGCAGAGCCAGGGTAGAAGCACCTTCTGCGGATGAAGACGAAGAAGAAGACGACGCGGTTCGCGTGCCCGCTTCTAGCCGGCGAACTGCGAAAAGACCGATTTTCAACGACGAGGAGACCGAAGATTCGGATTCTGACGATATCATTGGTGCATCTCCATCGAAACGTATGAAACGAATTCAGGAAATACAGACTCACACGCGGTCGCGCCGCAATTTGAATCAGGATAAGCAAGATCTGGAGGAGGATTTGGAGTACCTTCGCGATTCTAGTACTGACTATATTCTGATCTGGAGAATGTGCTGGTTTGCTGACTGCTTTGCAGCTACAACTAAGCGCAGAACAAGAGGAAGTGCAGCGGAATCAGTCGCCAAACTCAAACGGAAAGAGCAATTAGAAGCTCTCCGCCGCCGTCGTGCTGGAGAACGACCCAAATCGTTATCCCCAAGCGAATCAGAAAGCTCGGAAGACGAAGTCGATCGCTCCCTCTCTATATCCTCAGATGAGGACCTACCGGAAGACAGTGACATTGAACCCGCCGCGCCAGTCGACCTCGATCAATACGAAGATGACTTTGTTTTGCATGACGACGATGCAGAGCTCGGGGCTCCAGCTGATTTGGTCGACATGCCATTTGAGTTCACTCGCCATCGGTACAAACGACTAAGGGACCATTTCTCCGATGTGGTGGAGTGGATGGTGCATAACAAGCTAAACCCTGCGTTTCCTCGCGAGGACCCAGTGTATACTGTTGCGTTTGACAAGGTCAACGACGAGGTTATGGGTGTAACGGGCTCACAGTTGGTATCATCGGTTTGGAGGCCGGACTTTATACGTGCACTTGAAGCGAGACCGGAGATTCAAGTTCTCCCCTCCATCGAAGTACTGAGTGGTCTGTGTGATGCGTGTAATCGATCAAAGCACCCGGCGAAGTTTGACGTCCGCTTCACTGGAAAGCCGTACTCTCTGGCAACCCTCGAGCCGATTTACGACGAAGAAGACAGTGTCACTAGCGACGATGTCGAAGAAGACGATGGCCCAGTAGACAAGGATAATATCAACAGCCAGGGTCATCGAATCCCCGACCAGAGCACCCATTTTTATCTCGGGTCAGTTTGCAAATCAAACGCGACCATGGCACACGCCCTTATCCACTGGCGATTCCACCTCAACGAATGGGTGATTGGCTATCTCGAGCGGAAAGGTGTTTTCAGCGGCGAGAAAATCCTGGAGCGGGAGCGTTGGAGCGTGAGGAAGCGGACCCGTTACGCGAACCAAGTGATGGATGAGATGAAAGCATTGGAGACTGATCGTCTATGGAGGGATTTTAACCTAAACTTGAAGACGGCGAAGGATCAGAGAGTAGTAAGTTTTGCCCGCCTTCAGTTGACTCGTGCGAGTTCGTGAAGCTGATGGATAACCTTGTAGGAACGACGATGGCGTTGAGCTGCGTTGGAGAGATTTTGGATTTTATAATCCATCCATTAAATAGCTACTCTGTATTACGTTGGGTAATTTTCCCTGAATACCATGGACTCCTGGAAGGTTGGAAGAGTATGCAACGGATTCTCTAAGATTGAAAAAAGAACGTTGAGATTAAACCAAATTCCCATCGAGTATATACATACACAGCATACTCCGTCAGAAAAAAGTAGAAAAGATCCGCAGGTCATAAAACTACAAGTTTTCGGAAGATAATAGAAGAGAGAATAGAGATGGAATGTATCGTAGGGAGACCTGGCAGAGCATAGGCGGGAAAAGGACATCATTCACAGCTCATATGGATGGAAAGATTGAAATCGGCGTCATGTGCGACGCGTAAGAGCTGGGAAAGTTTCATCCGATGCTCGCGACCCCGTCGTATACGAGTAATGCCAGGACCCACGAATCAATTTCGAATGGGATCTGACAACAAAGGCTCTCCATAATTGAAAGCTCGAATACGACGAATCGAACCAGACGGTAGCACGCTCAATCGTTTGTTAATCCAATCAGCCTCACCGCAGTATCTCTGTTGGTCTCATGAAAACTCTCCATCCGTTTACAATGCCGGTCGAGCCTCGGATGGAGGCGACGGCAACGCACTCGTGGTGCCGGGGGCCAGCATCTGCAACGATTCATATTAGTATAGCATAGAAACAGGCGGGGAACGGGGTTAAGAGCGTACTTCGTTAGCTCCCTTGATCATGTCCTGCTCCCGCTCCATCTGCACATACTGCTGCTCCTCAGCCAGGGCCAGTGCCCACGGTACACCAAGCAAAAAGGCGCTTGTGCTGACAACCCAGAGTGTCTTTCCTCCAAATGAGAAAGTGGATTTTGTGAAAGAGGTGAGGCAGGAGACGGCGCTGGAGATTTTACGGCGCGAGGATGGGGGGATGATATCTCGGAGGGCGGCGATGCGTTCAAAGAGGGTTTCTTCCTCAAGAGTGGCGTAGGAGTCGGTTGATATCTCGGATTCTGCGCACTATTAGCTCAATCGCCGGGAAAATAGGGAGATAGTAGCTTCGAGGTGCAGATATGTACCGGTGTCTGTGTAGTCCTCGTCCTCATCGTCGCTCAATAGCAGGGCATCGTTTTTCGTTGTGGTGGGCTTCTCCTTGAAGTGCTCGTCTTCGACTTCGGTGAGTTTGACCATTGTGAACGGGGGTTAAGGTGATAGACCGTAGAATCGGGAGGCTGGTCAGATATCGAAACGTAGACAAGGGACCGAATTGCTCAACTGCCTGGATGCTGCTCGTTTGAGCTGTTCTTCACCGAAAACCAACTTTTTCTGCCCGTTGCTTTGTCATTGCTGAGTAATACCAATTAGTTATGTAATGGGCTATTTAGGGCGGCACCATCCCTTTCCCGATGCGGCTGGGTCCGTTGGCTTGAAGAGCGAGATGATCTGGAATCTGTATCCTGACGGGCCAGAACGACTGAGGAGACGGTGATCTTCGCGATATAGACCGTCGGCTGGACGACGTGAAACAGTGCTCCGGTTATTCCTCTTCCCCTGAGCTATGTGCTGACTGCGAACCACATCTTGCGACCACACCCAGGACATCGCCCAGGGTCTCGACCGTCCTTTTGACTTTGGACAACCTTCTCATGGAATCAAGCATTCAATCAAAGTTTGCCGGCCATGAGAACGACTCTGCGGGAGAATGGCTCTGTTCGCCTCATCGCCGCCTAATCTCGTGAAAATATTTCCCTCCAGAAGAGGCTTGCAGTGACTGACCAGTATCCTTACCAGTGTCGCTGCTACTGGACACAATACATTGACTTGTCCCTTGCAGCTGCATCTCGCCTGCAGCGGCTGCGTCCGTTTCGCCCGTAATTGCAGTGGGCTCTTGTTCAGGAGAGAAAAAAAGCAGGGTAACTGTCACCGCCAAAATGCACAAACAGCGCGTGTCATTACACTGTCATTCGTGATCGGAACTAATAAGAAAAGAAGAAGAAGAGAAAGAGAGAGAGAGGTTGCTTTTTGGCTGTGGGATTGCATATATCTCCATTCGAAACCCAATACAACCGCAACATTAGTCGCATTTCCGTCCCATCGCTCGATTCGCAAACGTTGTTCCCCCTCTTTCACTCCAGTCAGATTTCAACCTGCGGGTAAACACTCACCATCATGGCAGAAGACTACGTTCCCGATATTCCCATACCCCCTCCGAAAAATCGCGGCTACCTCGAACCCTTCGTGATCCCTCCACGCCGCCCGCACACCCATAGCATAATCCTCCTACATGGCCGTGGCGGCAATGGTCGGGACTTTGGCGTCGAACTGCTCACCACCAAACTACTCTCCTCCGGCACCCTCACACAGTGTTTCCCAAGCACAAAATTTATTTTCCCCACCGCCAAGCTTCGGCGCTCTACCCAGTTCAAGCGCATACCTATCGCGCAGTGGTTTGATCTGACCAATCTAGGCACGGAAAACGAACGGCGAGATATTCAGCATGAAGGCCTAAGAGAGAGCTCGCAATTTATACATCGGCTTATCGACGAGGAAGCTGCGCTGGTGGGCATAAGAAATGTGGTTGTGGGCGGGTTAAGTCAGGGCGCGGCCCAGGCACTACATGTCTTGATGAGTTACGATGACGGAGGAAAAGGCGGATTGGGAGGGTATGTAGGCATGAGCGGCTGGTTGCCATTCCAAAAGGAAATGGCGGAGCTAGCCAATGAGCCTTCGCAAAATGGGGATGGTGTTCAACCAGAGGATCTGTTTGAGAGAGACGCAGATGCATCACGGCAGCAAAACCGCTTTGACGATAGGAATATTGCCCTCGGTGTCCGGGCCGTTGATTTCTCCCGGCAATGCGTTCTTGATATCGAACCCCTTCCTCCGCGAGATACGCCGCCCGGCTGCCTCTCCACTCCCATTTGGCTAGCTCACGGCGCCATGGACGAGAAAGTCCGTCCGCAGCTGGGCGAGTTGGCGGCGCAGACGATGGAGAAGCTCGGCTGGGATGTCACATGGATGCTTTACGACGATTTGGAGCATTGGTTCGCGCCGTACGAACTGGACGATATGGCTATCTTTTTAAATACCAGGGCCGGGGTCCCAGAGGACTAATTGGAGGAACTCAGCAACAGCTCTAACTGGCTGTATCATGGGGGGGTTCGATTCCAGCATCTTGGAAAATTTGGGGTTGCTATCTTGACGAAATGAACAGATTCCATTACTGCACTTCTGAATATGTTTTCATGTATTATTATCACGTAGCAAATCAAGAGAATATAAACACCAGCGCAAGCGCCTTTATCTTGCAGGATGAGAATAATATACACGATTGAGTCAGCACTCCCACTTTATAAATCCTGATCCCCCTTCCAGAATATTTAAACAGCACAAATCCAAACCATGTCCTACAACGCAACACGACGGGTTCAAAATCACCGCCTTCCCAACTGCCACCTCGCAATCCTCTGCTGAATCTCCTCCCACGTAAACGGACTGAGCCTCTGCCCCTCCATCTCCCCCTCCTGCACCACCACCGTCGGCCTCCCCGTCCCATCCCCCTTATTCTTCACCCTCCCAAAGAACACATCCTTGGCCACGCGCCGCAAGTCCGCCACCGTCACGGCCTCGATCTGCCGACACATCTCCATGACCCCGACCTTGCGACCGTGCACCTGCACCTGCCTCCCCAGGTCCTCCAGCTCCACCATGCGCGACTCCAGATTCATCAGCAGCGACGAGCGCAGCTGGTTCTTGGCGCGGTTGACCTCCGCGGGCTGCAGGGCCGGATAGCCCGACTCCAGGGTGAGCGATTGCAGCTCGCGACACATGACCTCGAGCATGTCGGCGATGCGCGGGGGGCTGCAGGAGGAGGAGATGCCGAAGAGGCCGCTGTCGGTGTAGCTGTAGTTGAAGGCCATGCAGCTTTCGACCCAGCCGTGTTGGTTGAGGACGTTGGTGTAGAGGCGCGAGTACATGCCTTTGCCGGGGCCGCCGGCGGAGAAGGAGCCGCCGCCGCCGAGGAGGGTTTGGAGCGTGGCGAGGGCGTAGATGTCTGGGGAGGAGATGGGGAGGGCTTCGAAGGCGAGGTGGATGTGGCTGAGGCGGGGGAGGGAAGGGTTCGGGGGCGGAGGAATGGGAGGAAGGGAGAGGAAGCCGCCGGTGTAGTGGGAGGGTTGGGTGAGGTTGAGGGAGTCGGGTTTGAGGATGTCGGGGGAGAGTGGAGAGACGGAGGCGTGGCTTGCGGCGGAGGTGGAGAGGTTCTTGAAGAAAGGGATCTTGGAGAATACGCCTGGCGAAGACGATGTTGACGATGCGGGCGTCGTCTCAGCCGGTGTCGTGGATGTAGGAGAGAATGCCGGGATCGTAGGAACCCTCTCATCGGGAAAACCGTTCACCTTGGCCTCGCTGTCCGCTACCGCGCTTTTCCTCTGCATATCCCCAAAATACATCTCCGTCAACCTGACCGCTTCCCCATGCGGCACCCCGGCGAACGCAACCACCATCCTCTCCGGCCCAAAGAACACATCCCGATACTTCTGCACCGTGGTCCGATCAATCTGCTCCAGCCTCTCCTTCGGGCACAGCAGCGGGTTCCCCAACGTATTATCCTTGTACGCAGCCATATTCACGAGCTCCGGCAAAATCATCTCCGGCTTCGCCCACAGTTCTCGAATCTCATACTCCGCAACCTCCAGCTGCATCCGGACCTCTTCATCCGTAATCTGCGGCTGGCGAATAGTCTCCGCCAGCAGTCCTAGCGTCGTGGGCACCGCCGAATTGAACGTTGCGGATTGGTACATGAGCGACTCCCGCGACGATGCGCACTGGATGTTGCCCCCGAGCGACTCCAGAGCTTCCAGCATCTGGTCTCCCGTGCGCTTGGTCGTGGATTTGAAGGCGAGTCGGTCGACAATGTGGCTTACGCCGCGAAGGCTTTCGTTTTCGTAGCGTGAGCCGGCGTCGATGTATACGCCGATGCCGGCGAAGGGGCCAGGGAGCGATTCTGTGGCGACGCGGAGGCCATTGGAGAGGGTGGTGATTTGATCGAGCTCAACGGGGTCCTGGAAATAAGGAGTTGGAGTTAGACAAGGCCATCACACGTTGGTCGGAGAGGCAAACAGCTTTCTTTTTACCTTGGATGTTTGAGTGCTTGCGGCTTTGGCTTGGGTCAGTCGGCTAGCCCATGGACGATTAAATCTCTGCGCTGGATTCGAGCGCGTTAAAGGTCGTAATGATGCTGGGGTTAGTGCAAAACGACGCATAATGGCAGGTTGTTTTGCACGGTGGGTGTGGTTGAGCTCTTCGTTGCGCGCGAAGGAAAAAAAAGTTGCTTCAACTTTTGGTGATGCAACCAGCGATCTTAGCGTTGGTGACCAGACAACCGCATCTGTGCAAAGGAGAGGAGACGACAAGAGGCATTATGGCATTAATATATACAATACAGATCTAAGAATGAATATTTATCAAGAGAAAATCTAATCACAATGTGCGCCCTTAATGTTCTTCCGCCCACTTGCGATACCACTCCAGACAGGCCGCGTTGGCGACACTCGCTCCCGTCTTGATGTTCAGTCCACAGAGGATCTGCTTCACCGCATTCTCAATCTTCTTGCCGTTCGAAGTCACCGGGATCTCGGGGCAAGAGTCGATAATCGCAGGAACATGGCGAGGACTCAATTCCTTGCGGATCACCGACTGGATGAGTGTTGCAAGGCCCGCTGGCAGCGACTGTGGCTCCTTGACGACCCCAGTGGGAGTAGAAACGCCGGAAGACGATGAGGATGTGCTGTTTAGCTTGACGAACAAAACAACTGTTTCGTCAGTTTCAATGCCGTTCCGTCGCCGTCCAATGCACAACGAGTCCTCGATCACATCTGCAAAATGCTTCAGGATCACGTTATAGATCTCTGCGCTTCCGAATCTCACGCCCGCGGGCTTTAGTACCCCATCGCTTCGTCCCAGCATGACCAAACCTCCGGTGATGGGATTGATTTTTACGAAATCCCCATGGTGCCAGACGTGATCCCCATAGGTTTCAAAGTAGCTTGATCGGTATTTTGCTTCGCCTACAGGGCCTGGTGGCCAGAACATAACGGGTTGCGCAGGGAATGCTTTCGTGCATACAAGATCTCCAGCGTCATCTGCCTTGCTGATGTCGGCTCCGGCATGGTCAAACACCGACACGGCCATGCCTAATCCACGACATTGAATCTCCCCTCTGTGCACGGGGAGGATCGGACAGGAAGCTCCGAAAAGAGAGATGATATCTGTGCCGCCAGTAATGGATCCAAGGAGGACATCTTCGTGAAGAGAAGAGTATACGTAATCAAAGGTTGAAGGAGCTAATGGGGATCCAGTGCTGAAAATCGCTCGGAGTGTTCGCAATGTCACGGGCCTATGGGGATGCTTTCGCGGGTTCAACGCAGCCTGTTCCAACACAGAAAGATACTTTGCAGAAGTCCCAAAATGGGTGATGTGCAATTCATCGATCAATCGAGCCATGGCCATGTCCCCCTTTCCATTCTCCGGGTCCAGCGGGCGGAAAGGTGAGCCATCGTAGAGGACAATGCTAGACCCACTGGCCAGTGCGGACACAAGCCAATGCCACATCATCCAAGTTGTAGTGGTGAAATAAAACAGTCTGTCACCAAGACCAATGTCACAGTGAAGGACATGTTCCTTCTTATGCTGGAGAAGTGTGCCAAGGGCTCCATGGACGATAGGTTTGGGTGCACCAGTGGTGCCGGAAGAGTAGAGAATGTAGATTGGGTGATCCGGAGGAAGATATTCGAATCGCAGCGGAGCATTGGATGCTCTAGCGGGGGCGAGGAAATCGGCATAAGAGATGCTGGTGCCGCTTGGTGGCTTGACTGACTGAATATCAAAAGCATGGTCTCTTACAGCATCGAAGACGACGACAAGCTGCAGACATGGCAAACTAGCAGCGACCTCCATGACTTTGGCACGTGTGTCATGGACCTTGCCGTTGTACTGTGCGGCGTTGTCAGCAAAAAGCAGTTTGGGCTCAATCTGGCGCAATCGTTCAAGGACAGCATGCACGCCAGTGTCCGTGGAGACACCGCTCCACAACGCTCCAATTGAAGTGGTAGCCAACATGGCAATCAGGGTATTCGGATGGTTACCAACGAAACCAGCGACACGGTCTCCCTTGACCACACCGGCTTCGCGCATGGAGGTAGCGCACAGCCGAACTCTCTCGCGCAGGTCCTTCCATGAAATATGCTCCCGGGTAGACTCCGTGGCAGCAATCACAGCGACTGCGTGCTCATGCGGGTTGCTAGAAGGGAAGAGAAGGTTCTCGGCGAAATTGATCAGACATCCGTCGAAGAAAGGCCGTTTGGGGAAAAGGAGTCCAACATCCTCGCTGACCTAGTGGGATGTTCCGTGGTCAGCGCCAAATCGTCTAGTTAGCTGGTTTTGTCTGAAGGAAAAGGCTTTACCTTGTCGTAGCTCCGATGGGCCTTGACGCCGGTGTAATTCCACACTTCCTCCCAGAACTTGTTCGGCTCATCAACACTCCACTGCCAGAGGTCGTGATATGTACTGAGGGCGATATCATGCTTGGATGCCACAATGGTCTTGAACTCGTGAATACTAGTTGCTTCAGGGTTGGCAGGCCGCCATAGCTCCCTGGCTTCGTCTGCGTAGTCTCCCATGCCGTTGGCGTGGTCGATAAATGGCATTGCTAAATCAGTCGCGTCAGGACACTGGATAGTGGTGCTCTCTCTGGGCCTAGCAGTCGTGCGCCGATAAGTTACCGATGGACTCAATTTAGCAATGAACGTTAGGCAATTAATGGGATATTCTTCGTTGCGCAGCAGATGGGCAACTCCTCTCGGGAAGCGCAAGTGAATAATTTGTTTTCCGCTGTCTTCACCCTGCCATTGCCGTGTCTGGCCCCTCGTCGCATCGCCAGGGGTGCTTCTTTCGTCTGTTCTTCTTGCTTATGCGGGTCTTTTCCGAGCCAAAAAGGGAATTTTCCGATGCTTCGGAGGCTTCGCTGGCCAATCGGACGTCGCGGGGCCCTGGCATAATTATGTAAGCATGCACTTGGCTCGTTGCCCGATTGGGACCGGAATACGGATCAACATATATCCACCCCACCCGTTTTGTCTGTTGGGACAGTCACATGATGCAGCTGTGCTTAGTAAGACTCAGGCGACGACATCTTTCAACCTCACCTTCCGAGGTGAATAGATCTTGGGATCATTGCTCCTGAAGAACTATTATTATTAGAATTCCAAATGGCGTCTTCTATCTACATTACATGTTTCATCATCCTCTATTTACATCTTCAAGTTCACGCGGACCCTACTTGTTGTAGTAGGACACAAGAGAATCATAGTCAGCCATGGAATCCGTTCCTGCCTGCCCATGTCCAACTAAAGCTTTTCGATAATTCTGTGCTTCCACTAGGGCTTTCTTCGCTTCTCCGTCTTGCTGCATCTCCTTGAGAATAAGGTGTTTTCGGAAGTACGATCTCGCAACCCGGTCCTCCGCACCGGGAACTGAGTGGAAAATCGTTATGGCCCGGCCAACGCTTTCCCTATTACAGCAGGTTAGCATCCCGTCACCACAGTTCAGGGTGTGCAAAACATACAGAGCATCGGCAAGTCGCCCCAACTGCTGGTACACGCAACTTAACCCATAGTGACTCACCCCTGAGTCATTGTGTCCCTCGCCCATTGCTCGGTTCCGTATCGCCAATGTGCGTTCGTGCACCTCGAGGCCCTTGTCCACTTCACCACAAGCGACAAGGAGGTCTGCATAGGTGAATCGAAACTGGTTTGACCGAAAGTCATCTGGCCCGTTGTGGGTCTCCACCAGGTCTATCACCTTCTTTGCAGTAGTTTTCGCTTCTGCCACCCGGCCTTGTCCCATCTGAACGCGACAAATGTTGTACAAGGTGACCCCAATATCATACGGGATGGTGGTTTCATCCCCAAGTGTATATTTGATGTCAAGCGCTTTTTGAAACAGCGGCATGGCCTCGTTATACTCTTCAAGGACCAGTCGACCGGCGCCGGTATTGCTATAGCAATTGGCCAGCATTCGTTGGTCATCGTGCGATGGGTTAGTCTTTGCAGCCATGTACTTTTGCCGAACGTTGAGGGCTCTTTGGAACAATTCGACGCATTCTTCCCGTGTCTGGTACGTTGGAAGTTTCAGTGCCCCAACTATAGTGAGGATGTCTGATTGGAGGGCATCCGGCGCATCCTTCCCAAGCACTTTTTCAGAGATATCAAGAGTGTGGGTTGCAAACTCAAGTGCATGCTCAGTCCCGCGCTCCCACATGTACCAAGCACAGTTGCATAGCATCTCGATATATGCTCTAGGGACATCTTGCTCGCAAAGTCCTGACCAACCAAAGGTTGTTTTGAGGCTTAGCACATGTGGAATCCATAATTCACAGTCCGCCCAATCCTTACACATTGTTCCTCCATTCGGCGGCCTCGCAGGAAAGGTGCGGTTTAATAGGTCGACAGCGTCCTGAAACGCTTCTAGCCTCTTGGGAGGCTCTAGCACATGGATAGCACGGCGTTTTACAATGCGGTGCATGCGCAAATTTCGACCGGAGTCTACATGAATAGGAGTAACGAGATCGTGTTTCGCAAGTATTCGTATCTCATCGTTCCAATCGAAAATGTCCGCAAGGTGTTTCAGTCGGGGGTTGTCCTGGCAGCCTCCGGTAATGAGCGATTCCTGCACTTTATCTGTCTGAAAGAACGCCATGACCCCCATCAGGTAGGTCTCTTTCTCTGATAAGAGCCCGATAGACAGGTCGCAGCACGTTGCAAGTGTGTTCACGTACTGTGATCCTGCCATGCTCGCTGTATCAGAGTAAAATCGCTCAGAGTTAGTTTGAAGAATGGTGGAAAATTGGTCCATCGTGCATTTGGTTTGTCGCATAAAGATGCCCATTTGGCAAATTCCGAGAGGCATACCGCCGAGTTCGCTAAGCACCTCGCGGGTTTTGTCAGTTTCCGGTACTTGCGGATAAATTTGCGTCAAAAGCTTCGTTGCTTCCGCTGGCTGAAAGCCTTCTAGTTCGATCTTACACTGACCTAATCTGTCAGCAGTGTCCCTGTCCCGTGTTGTTACGATAATTGACCCGTTGCCGGAATTAGGCCAATAATCCAGAATATCCGCCGCGGCATCGACATTGTCAAACACAAGCAGCCATCTTTCCTCTGTTAAGATGTTAGACCGGTCGCATTTCGACTATGTTCCATCACTTACTGGTAGCTAACAGCCAGTCTTTAGCGGCTTGTACTGTTTTGTTCAGGTCCATTCCAGTCGTGTTTTCGTCCAAAAGCCTCCCTATTTGTGCAAAATCATGTTGCATGATAGTCGTATTCTCTGCCCTAAGCCAAAAAACACCTTTATACACCTTCCTGTTTTTGAAAGCATATTCGAGCGCCAGTTGCGTTTTGCCCATGCCTCCAAAGCCACGGATGGTCACAGTTCTGAGGTTTATTTCCCCGGCCTTTCTTGACTCGATAAGATGTTGATGAATACTTGCCAACTCGACTTCTCTTCCGATGAACGAGTCGTTGCGGGCCTCAGGAACGATGAATGTAGGTTTGATTAATTTGGCAGTTTTAAGGGCAGTAGGGATGATCGCCATCACAGCCTGGTGCCGTTTCTCTGCTGCTTGTTCACGGACAAATCCGACCTCGATATTTGCAGCTCTAGCTTCGTGCTCGAGGTCCTCCTTGTCGCTGGAAACACGCTGAACTGCATCTTCGAATGTTTTGTGCAACGACCTCCATGTTGCCCACACCACTACAGCTATTAATAGTTCCCGTCAGCCGATCACAACCCAGTATATCCCCGGGGCAAAGCTGACTTACTGATCCGTCGAGAATTCAAAAATTTGAACGCCTTGGCGCAGAATAAGATGAATGTTTCGTAAATATTCACCAGGTGGAGATGAAGTCGGTCGTTTGTTGGGAAATACCGCAGGTAATCCTCGAAGCGAGGCATAGATCGGGTCATCGTTTCTAACATCTCTGAAATGCGACTAGCACAATTCCCCAGTACGGAAGCGAACTAGGTCTACACTCAGCGCTGATCCATGTACACCAGATTTGAGAAGACCTTTCTCACCGTCAGCACAATTTGAACACTTCCCCATATCAAACATGCGACATCAGGGTTGCTCTGGCAGCAAGTGGCAACGGCTGTGTCAAAGGTGCGTAGGAAATCGAGGACCGGCACGACTACGGCTTTTAGTTTCGACCATTTTCTAGAGAACTTGTTCTTCTCGGATTGAAGTTCTTTGATACAGGTGTTGTAGTCGCGGATGTTGACGAACTTCTGGTAGTTTTTGGCGCCGAGTTCTTGTTTGGCTTTTGCAATGGCAGTGTCCCAGGCCTGCTGGGGGCTGTTGGCTCTATAACATTAGTATGCTGGGATTCAACATTGATATCGCTTTCGACTTGCCTGTTTCTAGTTGCTTGCGTGTTAGCCATCAGAAATCTCTATGCTGATGCGCCCGAATTGCAAGCAAACTCTCATCGGTGCAAGAACCGGATAACTTACTCCACACAAGCAGAAGATGGAGAAACAAATCTCATAAGAGACAATTTATGTAGGCAGTGCAGGGGGCGAGCGATACGATTTAGTCTTCAGTCCATAATCTCGTAACTCGGCGGTTAAACCATGCAGCCCGCCTTGCCGTAGCCTGATGGGGCCAGAATGGGGAGATCAGCAGATGGCGACGAGGCGCTTCGGCCAGAGCACGGGGCTCAAAACCTCAAGGGAACGATGTGGTCCCATTCGATGGGTGCTGCGCATGCAGCCCGATTTCGAAGGCTTCAGTTGCTTTCACCAGCCTCAAGCACACGGTAGGCGCCAGAGAGTCCTCGTTGTATCGGCGGAGGTGGCTGGCGAATATCTCTTAAGACTGAAGGAAGGCTTCCGATTTTGGCCCCAAACGAACGGCCCCCCGCCTGAACTCGCCCTGCTCCTTTGAGGTCAACTTTTCTCTACTCAGGAATGATTCTTCGCCTGTCTCCTGCCCTCGAGCCTAGCATCATGTTGACGTCTGCGGCTTTTCTACTCTGCCCGCTCGCTGCCACTGCCTTGCAGTACCCTTTAACACACTCACAGCCATCGTTCGAATCACCAGGTCGCCAGCAGATGCAGAAGAGATTAAATGAAATTCTGCCCAAGATCGAGATCCTCCGTCAAACTGGGGGAACGGCTGGCATCTCTGTCGGCGTCATCAGCCATGGAGACGTCGTCCTGGAGCACTTTTTTGGATTCGCAGACGTGCACCAGCGTCTGGCAGCAAATTCCAGCACTCGATACCCCATCGCCTCACTGACAAAAGCGTTCGTCGCTACTACAATCGCCCAGCTTGTCGACGAGGGCAGCCTGCGATGGGACGAGCCCTTGACGACTTACATCCCAGAGCTCAATTTTCATGCGGACCCATCACTCGCGGCCCGTCTCACGCTGATCGATCTGCTTTCCCACAATACTGGGCTCCTACGGCTCGACGCACTCTGGCTCGGTGCGAGTAGTCAGACTGTGATCTCGAAAGAGTTCACTGTTGCTGTGTGCAATCACTTGGCACCTGTGTATCCGCTGCGGTCGAAATGGCTATACAACAATTGGATGTATGCGCTTGCGGGTGAAGTGGTGGAGCGCGTGACGGGCAAATCCTTTGGTCGAGCGCTTGCCAGCCACGTTCTCGAGAAAGTTGGCCTCACGCAGACTACGGTTATTGAATCTGAAGTCCCCCCTGATTCAACCGCAGTGCCATACATGACCCTAGATGACAAGACGCCAGTACGGGTTCCAAAATCGGAACTCACCGACGGAACCTTTATGGCGTCAGCTGGAGGCGTTCGAAGTACCGTCCACGACATGTTGATTTGGGGTAATGCTCTTCTTTCAGTTTTCCGTGACGAACAATCGCCACTGAAAGGGCTCGATACCGTTCTATCCGGCCACAGTTTTATAAACAAAACGTTTTTATCTGATGAGCTCTACGCATTGGGCTTCTCGAAAGCCACTACTCCCACACAGCTTGGCAAGGTCGGGTTTAACCCAGGCCTTGTCGATGGCATGCCGGTACTAGGAACCAAATCTAATCGGGAAACCGTCTTTTACCACAGTGGTGGAGGGACCGGTTATAATCATTGCTTTATGCTTGTGCCCGGCTCTCAAACTGCCATTGTTGTTCTAACCAACGCAATTTCGCACGGGGACATTGCGGACTGGGTCGCCCAAACCCTCCTCCAAACCGTGTTAAACATAGACTCTCCCGTGGACCTGGTGCCATTTGCCGAACAAGCAGCCTCCAATTGGAGAGCATTATATCCGAAAATGGTTGAAACACTTGAGCAAGGACGGACGCCAGATACTCGCGAGCCTCCGCATCAGGAGCTACTTGGGAAATTCTACCATCCGACGCAAGCGCTGTATCTTGAGGTCTCTATCGCAGATGGCGCACTAAGATTTAGCATCAATGGCAGATCCGAACAAGAACATAAGTTGTCGCATTATCACTATGATAGCTTCATCTTCCTGCCATCGGACGACGAACGCGTTCGTCGTGGGTTGGTTCACTACAGCGCCGCGGCTTGGCTGCTGCACTTTAAGAGGGATTCTACAGGACAAGTTACGCATATTGTCTGGAATCTGGATGGTCAAGCTCCCGGCGGAGAAACCTTTTCTAAAGCGAAGGCGTAGTTGATGCTTAGAAGCAAGATAACGTGCCCATACGGAGTACATGGGAATGATAATGAGGGCTTTATTTGGAAGTGGTGTTTTTTAAGCTCAACGGGCCGGGCCGAGACCCACAGCCCAGGCTTGTTGCCGCAAAACTTTAGGCTTTGCACTCCAAAAACAAACGCAACGCAGTCGGTAGCTGTTTGGGAATATTGAAATCATCCAAAGTAGAATGTGAACCGGCCGGCGATACGAAAACACCAGCGGCATATTACTATTAAGGTATTGGGATGAGGGTTATATACGGAAAGAAACGGCTGGGAGAAGGACGTTTACAATGTAACCACTAGTTTCCAGCTTGTTCCCATTGAATATTTCCCTATCCTATAACTACTCAGAGCTTTAGCCGCGCTTTATTTTGCGCTTTTTTGCTCAGCTAAACTCTGAAGGAGCTTGCGGAACTTAGTTACAGCTGACTCGAGGTCGCTACGCAGCCCCTCGTCGCCAAAAACCTGTGCTACAGTCTTCACATCCTTATCCATTCGCTCCGTTTTGGTAGTGCCGTTAAGCACCTGGGTACCGCCGAGGCCGAGTATTAAAAGGTAGAATGCAAGTTCCTTCTCGACCTGAAATTTCTCGGCCACGGAGCTCAGGAGCTCTGACTCGAGAATTTCAGGGTTATGCCTCAGCATCCAGAATGCCTGATAGGTAATGCCGCGCTCGCCGCAGTACTCTCGAAGATCCATATCGTACGAGGTGTCTCTATGAAAACGGTTCTGGACAACCAGCGGTTTTACAGTTGAATTTTCGTAGATTCGCTTGAGCTGTGGCAGTGAGAAGTTCGAGACTCCAAGGCACCGAATCTTATCGGGCACGTAGGTTTCAAAGACCTTCCAGGCCACGAGGTTGTCGTTTTCGTTTTGGAACGGGGCGTGAAGCATAAAGGCGTCCAAGTAGTCGACTTTGAGATGATCGAAGCTCTGCTGTATAGATTGTCGGATCTGTCCCTCGAGGCTCTGGTCGGGGTTGAAGGGGATCTTGCTCTTGTCATGAGCCCAGAGAGGTGTGAACTTGGTTTGGATCTAGAAAAGTAGTTAGGAAGAGCTCATATTTAGCAGTAACTAAATAAACCAAACATACAAACAGGTCGCTGCGCTTGACGCCAGATTTCAACACCGCTTCAATGGCATCTCCCGTCAAGGGCTCGTTATAAGCCGTAGGATGATTTGCCGTGTCCACGCCAGTAAAGCCATGTCGAAAAGCCGTCTCCGTAAACTCTCCCGTTTTCTCCTCTTTCCACGCTGTTCCGTACACCAGATATGGGGTCTTGGGACCAACTTGTGGCCTTGTAGTATCGTCGTTGGACATCGTAGGCTGGATATTGGTTCTTCTTTTCTGAGTGATAGTGGGTGATCTTTGCCTGCGGCTTTCTTTCAGAAAAAGAGCCAGTGGCGGAGTTGTTCCTACTAGTAGCCAAGGGCACGTTGGCTGGCTCTCTGTGCCTGGGGGCCCAGACTCATCGCCCTTCAGTAAGAGCCGCAATTCATGCCCGAAAGTGAGGGGAAAGACGATTAGCGCAGCTCCAGCCGCCCTCAGGGTGGTGTCATGGCCTCACCTGGCTTGAAAGCACAACTAGATTCATCCTCATGCAGCTCTCCACCACAATGAAGCGTTGAAGGGGATAATTCTCGTGCGGGGAGAAGGGATAGCAACGGCTGTTCGCCTTGTCTTGTCATCAAAATCCTCGAAAGGCTATGGAGATTGAGGCTGGCTCGGGCGATCTAGGGATGGCTTTTGCTTCCTAGCGAATTAACTTGCTCTTGGGATTGCTTCGCAGACGCTATGACAACGCCACTGACGAACCCTGGACTTTACGCTGTATGTACTTGTGAAGTTTGATTGAGGAACTCTAGTATCTCCGTCCTTGTAACCAAGTCAAATAGCAACATTCGATTTGACCATTCACTACAGGTCACTGAATCACACAGCCTTGTCACCCATCCCCGCGGAGGCGACTACGAATCAAAACCTGAAACCCGGACCACGAAGGAAATTTGCCAGCTGAAAAGAATGACCAGTGAACATCGAAAGACAAATTCACAGCTCCAAGTCGACCACCCCCCTGCAATAGTTCTCTCCATCAACCCGCGTCTTGGCCCGACTAGCCACATCGCATCTGGTTGATATCAGTCACCTTGATTTTCGTCATGACACCTACTGAGAGGAGTTGTACTTACTTCGAGTGCCCGAGAGGATGCTCCAGAAATGTTGGTATCAAACGGCGGTTACAGCCTGGGTTAAGTGGCTGCACTGCTGGGGCATCTTATCGTTCACGCCTTCAATTTCCGTGTCAAGTTCTTCCGGCTGATACCATTGCTTCCACGGCTGTGCCTGACCTGGACGCGCGGGAGGCGCCATAAAGGTTGTTTGGGTCTCGGGAGTAGAGACTGATTGGGGTTGGGCGTCCATGGCTTTTGCAAAGATATTATTTCGAAAGGTCAGAATAATGACTATGTATGCCAGGGGATCTTTGAAGTCTTGAGGCTTCAAGCGCGGAGGGCAGAAACAGCGGGGTTTTATACCCGGCTTTATGACTAGGCTCATCCTCACTGCTTTCCTTTTGCCAGATGAGGGGTTGTTGGGCTTCGGTTGGATATCTCACCCAGATCTCCTATTACCAGGTATTGATACTTGCGTGCTGCAGCTCCTTTCATGGATGATCTTGATGGATCCTGGAAGCCGGGGAGCATGGTTGGTCATCCCTCCGGTTGCATTCCACTAGCGGTCTTCCGCAAAGATTTGGATGCATGCATGCAACGGACAGCCAACTATCTCTGTGCAGAGCCTCTGAATCCCGCAACCTAGCCGGCCAATACCCGAAAAACCTCGACGCATGTGTCTTTGAAGGTATGGTCCAGAGATATCGAATCATGTGGTCTCTCATTGTCCCTCTTCTCCTCTTCTTCAAAAATGAGGCTCTGCTTTCTATGCCAAACTATCCCCAGAGCCTGCCCCATTTGTCCTGGAAGTCTTCAAATCTGTCTTTTTGACAAGATATCTGTTGCCATCCCACTACTGTCGTCACTTCCACCATGGGTACCATCACAGCACAACTTAACTTTCTCAAGCCGATTGACAGCTACAAAACCGAGAAGCCATATTGGCTGTTTATCGGCAAGCCCGAAACCGCGCCCGATGTTGATCTCACTAATGTGGTAACAGAGACTGTTACTGACATTCCAGTTCATGATGTACGAGGACATGAAGAGAAGTACTCCCTCGACGAACATGGATTTCAGTTCATCAAGCACAATCAAACATTTCAAGCCTTCGAGGATGAAGAACGAATCAAAACCGAATTCCTTCCTCAGGTTGAGAAAGTCATTCGGGAGAATGTCCCTTATGTAGAGAGAGTTCTCGTCTATGACTGGCGTGTGAGTTAACATCCACCTCCTCCTAGGTCGAATCGCTAATGCCTGTTTGCTAGGTCAGAAAGGAGATAACTGAAGGTGACCCTGAATTCATCACGCCGTTGCAGGTTCAGGATCGTAACTATCCACTTGCACCCTCGATTATTGTGCACACTGGTAAGATCCTTGAACAGACTTCGTGTGAAAGCACAGCTAACCGAGAAGACACCACCGAGTTTACCATTTTGAAGAGACTCAAAGCGGAGTTGCCAGAAGAAGCTGAAAGGCTTGCGAAGGGGAGGATCCAAATGATCAAGTGAGCGAACATCAAATCATGGACATATAATTCCCGCTGCTAAAACTCAAGCATTAGCTTTTGGAGACCAATGTACGATGAAGTGAAAAACTGGCCACTTATTGTCTGTGATGGGAGAACACTGCAGACGGACAGCCTTGTCGCCGTGGATCAAGTCTCACGACGTTTCGTCGGCGACGTCTACTATGCCACTTATGATCCTCAAAACAAGTGGCATTACCAGAGCTCCATGGGCAGCCATGAAGGTGTCTTGTTCAAAAGCTGGGACACGGCTAAAAACATACCGTCAAAAGGTGAGGGTTCATGGAGTTCCCCTGTTGCAATCCATACCTAACAGTCTACAGCCTGCATCCACTCTTCGTCGTGCCTGCCAGAGGAATCTTTGCCAAAGGGGTACAAGCTGAGACGTAGTGTAGAATGCAGGGCCTTGGTATTTTCACCGGCTGTGAATTAAACAGGGGAGTTGAGGGCTTCAAATGGAAGATTGAACATTCTGCAAGTCAAAATGCCCTGATTGCTTGTACTCCATCATAGTAACATTCTCTATGGGATCAATATGTATGTTGTCACACATGATGGCACTTTGTTGCAGCGATTCTGATGTGTCACGTGACAGCATTATCGTTTTTGGTAACGAGGATAAAAGTTACAATTGTTAGCTTAACAGCTGATATTCCTTGGATCATTCAGTCCTCAAGGAAGGAAACCCATCCTCTCCAGCTAACCGCCCGTTCAAAAGGCCTGATATCAACTTCCCTTCGATACCTGATACCAGTATCACCTGTTACAGCCTGTAATTTACCCCTGAATTTGGGCGATGGCACTAGTACTATTGGCCTTGGCATGCGGTACCAGGCCGTACGCACCGGCCGGAAAACCAGCTTTGGCACACTGTGAGTGGCCGAAGCGGTATTGAAACGTGTAATCGGTGACGAGCTTCTCATCTCAAATCCGCAAAAAGCTGTTGATCATCGTCGTCCTTCATCACCTCTCTCTCCAGCGATCGCTTCTCGTTCTCTCTCCTCCCACTTCTTCTTCCAGCCGGACTCTCTTCTCTTTGATCGATGTCGTGACTTGGAAGCACTTGCTCAAGTGCCCTCGACCCTCTCGATCGCCGTTAAGTGGAGTGCCCACTTTCCCGGCTTCGCCGGATCGTTGGAAGGTTTGTTCTCGGCCTTTGGTCCTTGTTGAGAAATCCTCCTCGCTTTGGTTTTCCTCGCAGCCTCAGAGCAGCAGGATCGTCAATTGTCTCCGTCGATTGCTCTCCTCGAGTTGTTTGTGCTTTCCATGGATGCAGCGTTGACCTTTCTCGCCAGGCCTCTTCTCTAGTTGAACCACTACAACACCTCCGTCGAGACTGCCTTGAGAGGCTCGCTCCGCTGGCGACACCGCCTCGCCTACATCCAAGTGCCGTTGACTGGCTTTGTCTTGGACCGTTTCGTCTGATCCTCATTGCCGCTCCTTGTCCCTGCGATGCCTCGTCGACCTACGAGTTCCTTTGTCAACAAATCCTCCGACTCGCCGTCCCCTTCTTCGACTACGCTTCCTAAAAAGGACGCACCAAAACCTACGAATCACAACCGCAACCGCTTCAGCCAGCTGTTCCTGAATTCAACAAGGTCCAAATTGGAAGCCCAACAAGCCGCCCTTGGTGGCCAGCAGCCAAGTACCAGTACCCAGAGTCCTGTGGCAACCGGTTCGACTCCGTCCTCCCTACCAGTCATCTCTCTTTCGACTGCAGACGCTTCCACCATGGATGTTCCCGCGACCACCCTCTTCCAACCACCTTCTCCCCGTGAGGCGCGCCGAGTTGCGAAACAGCATGCCCAGTTTGGCCCTCTCGGTCACCCCACTCACCGGTGTACTTCCCGCCACCAGGGCGGTGCGTTTCCGGACCCGATTATGGACGAACCCCCGTATTTTTATTTGCTTACCACATATATTAGTTACTTAATCCTAATAGCTTTTGGGCACGTGCGTGATTTCTTCGGAAAAAGATTCAAAGAAAAGGACTACCGTCACTTAAAGCCACAGAATGGCTATGGTGCGCTGAATAGCGATTTCGACAACTTTTATGTTCGTCGCTTGAAGCTTCGTATCAATGACTGCTTCGAGCGCCCTGTCACAGGAGTGCCTGGACGGTACATCACCCTGATTGATCGTGTGAGCAATGACCAGAATCGTCACTTCCATTTCACCGGGACCACTACCGATACCTTGAATATGAGCTCCTACAATTATCTCGGATTCGCTCAGTCTGAAGGCCCATGTGCAGATGCTGTTGAGCAGACAATCAAAAAGTACGGAATCAGCTCAGTTGGCACCAGGGTCGATGCCGGGACACAGGACCTTCACCTGGAAGTTGAAGATTTAGTTGCTAGATTTGTGGGCAAGGAGGCTTCAATGGTATTCTCCATGGGATTTGGTACAAATGCTGGTATATTTCCAGCCTTGGTATCCAAGGGTTGTTTGATTATTTCTGACGAACTGAACCATGCGTCAATCCGTTATGGTGCACGATTGTCAGGGGCCTCGATTGAAATGTTCAAGCACAACGACGTTAGCGCGCTAGAAAAGAAATTACGCGAAGTGATATCCCAAGGCCAACCACGCACTCACCGCCCATGGAAAAAAATCCTGGTAGTCGTGGAAGGGCTCTACTCAATGGAAGGGTCAATGTGCAATCTCCCCGGAATCCTTGCCTTGAGAAGAAAATACAAATTCAACCTCTTCATCGACGAGGCGCACTCTATTGGAGCTATCGGTCCCCGTGGACGGGGAATATGTGATTATTTCGGAATCGACACCAAGGAAGTTGATATTCTAATGGGCACACTCACCAAATCCTTTGGTGCCAATGGTGGTTACATCGCAGCAGACAAAACCGTCATTGACAAACTCCGCGCGTCAAATGCAGCAGTGTTTTTTGGAGAAGCTCCGACACCACCGATTCTCGCTCAAATCTCGACATCTCTTAGAATTATTACCGGAGAACTTGTTCCCGGGCCAAGGGGAAGAGAGACTCCAGAGGTTAGCATTCAATTCCAGATACTTGCGCCTCGGGCTGGAAGCGTCTTGGGTTCATCGTTATGGAAATGATGATTCCCCGGATCATTCGGCTCTGCTCTCAACCTGGCAAAATGCCTGCGTCTCACATGAGATGTTAAA